TAGGAGCAGAAAGGTAGAGAAAGTAGCTAAAAAACTCGTGTAAAAGAAAAGAGGGCAAAATTCACATGGAATTTTTATGTGTGAGCTTAGCATAACACAGTTCTGGCTGTGGTGTGTAAACCTAGCAATCATTCTTTCTTCCAACTTCTTGTTGGCTGGAATAATCACTTAGATTTATAACTGTTCCCACCATGTGAAACATAGAGATGTCCTGTGGCCTTTCATCTGCATTGCTAGCTTTTTTTAAATTTTAATTTTAAATTTTTCTATCTTTTTTTATAGTTGTTCAAGTACAGTTTTCTGCCTTTCCCCCCACCTCCCCACTACCCCTGACCTCCCCGCCTCTATCCCCCATTTCCACCCCCCTCTTTGTTGTTGTCCATATGTCCTTTATAATTGTTCCTGTAAACCCTTCACCCTTTCCCCCCATTATCCCCTTTCCTCTTCCTTCTGATCACTGTCAGCCTGTTCTCAATTTCAATGTCTGTGACTATGCTTTGCTTGCTTGTTTGTTTTGTTCATTAGGTTCCTGTTAAAGGTGAGATCATATGGTATTTGTCTTTCATCGCCTGGCTTATTTCACTTAGCATAATGCTTTCTAGTTCCATCTATGCTGTTGCAAAGGGTAAGAGCTCCTTTCTTTCTGCTGCGTAGAATTCCATTATGTAGATGTGCCATAGTTTTTTGATCCATTCATTTACTGAGGGCCACTTGGGTTGCTTCTAGCACTTGGCTATTATAAATTGTGCTGCTATGAACATTGGGATGCATAGGTTCATTGCTAACTTTATTCATGTATATTTATTTTCCAATATCCGATAGCACTTTTCATGTTCAACCCTGCTATGATATGTGTGAATTTTCTTTCCTGTCTCCCACCTTGAGATTCTGTGTGAATTTTGCCCTCTTCTTTTGCACGTGTTTTATCAGCTACTTTCTCTACCTTTTTGCTCCTACTCTGTATTGTCCTACGCTGTCCTTGTGTCACCTGGCAACGGCATCGCTAATCTCTCGGCTCCCTTTCTCTTTTTTCCTTTTCCCTGATGTAGTATGTAGCAATATCTAATATTATTTTGATATTTTACATTATTTATCTTTAATATTTCTGTATCTTATTTCCGGGACTAAATCATATCTTAAGGGCCAGGAAGGCATGTTCACTTAATATTGTGAGTTTGCTGAGCTCACAGTCTTGTATACACATATGCACATATACTGTTGACTGAGTTAATTAATAGAAGGAACTTCCCCAGACTCTGGGGATGAAGCATAAAAAGAATTCTTAGACTTCTCATAATTGGGCCTGTTAAGCAAACATAAATGAGAAAGGGGGCTTGTAGAAGATATCCTCATTGTCTCAGGCTTACTCCCCAGAGTTCCCTGAAGATCACATTTTCTTTTTTATCTGTCCAGGTCAAGCTGTTAAAGACCTCTGGCTATTTATATTATCCATGGGCTTGAGATGCTATTTAGGAGTTGCTTTGGGATTATTAAGTATGTACCCCCAAGGTTTTTTTTTTTTACAGATTCGAAAGGTATGAGTTATTACATATTTTTTCAAGGCTAATCAATTAATCAGGCTATGTTAAGCTGTGACAAAATGCTTAGTTTTCCTGCTGTGAACACCGAAATTTAGTGACTGGGTTTAGTTATCTGCTTTGTGGCTTTGCACAGCTTTCCAGAAAGGTTGGAAGTTTTTAGAAACAGGAACTGGATCCTGTATTGTATGTCTTCCCCAAAGTCCTAAGCCGTATGAATGCTCCGAGGAAACACTAAGTGATGAACAAATAAGCTCTTTTTTGCATTCTGTGTTTTGTTGTATTTATATGAAAGGGGCAAATTTTCATTGCTTCACTCATTTTCAACACACTTGATATGGCGAAATGGAGATAATACTACATCTCAAAGTTGTGACTCTGAGAACATTTTTTAAAAAATATTTTATTTATTTAATTTTAGAGAGAAAGGAAGAGAAGGAGAGAGTGGAAGAGAAACATCAATGTGTGGTTGTCTCTCATGTGTCCCCTACTGGGGACCTGGCCTGCAACCCAGGCATGTGCCCTGACTGGGAATTGAACCGGTGACCCCAGGCTTCACAGGCCTGTGCTCAATCCATTGAGCTACACCAGCCAGGGCTGACTCTGAGAACATTTATCTTAATAATACAACAGGGAAGCCAAGCTTTTCTCTAAAGTGTTAACTTGAAACTTCTACATGTGGTAAAGAGCTGTTGTTTTCCTGAAAATACCTTATTATTTTTTCTGCTGGAATTGGCCTTTTCTCATCTTTCTTGCATTTCCTCTCAAATAGACTTGTGTTTCAGTTAGAACTTTCTGGGCAGACTTCCGCCAAGGTGGAGGCATAGGTGGATAAGCCGTGCCTTCTCACACAACCAAGTTTAGAGACAACTAAATATTAGCAACAGAAAATACAGCCAGAACACAGAAAATTGAACTTTTCGGAAGTCTGTTAACAACAAATTCTTCAGCCGGACCGGTAAGGGGCAAAACCAGCAGCTGGTGGAGCGGGGTTGCACAGGAAAACTCGGTCAGACGGACTCAGGCACACGGAATCCAGGCGCAGGGTTGGACCTAGTGAGCGACCAAGCGAACAACTGCGGGGGAAAAGAGCGAGGGAGCAGGGCTGCGGGTTGACTGTGGTCGCGCATTGGTGCACGGATAGACAAGCGAGGGAGTGGGCGATGGGACCGGAACCCAGCGGGTCCCCGCAGCAAGCGGCAGGGAGGGCGCTGCCATTTCCCTGCTCTGACCCCACCTCCACATACAGCATATAACCAGCGCCGGAGTACCACCTGCCTTCGGGGGTTTCCGCTCTGACCACGCCCCCACATACAGCGTCACAACCCAGCGACCTGGTAGTCCAAGGATCCGCTCCTCACACTTCAAGAGCATGAACAGACCAAAAATGGCTCAAGAAGATCTCAAAGCCCCAGAGCCAATAAATCTAAGCAATGAAGAAATAGCAAAACTCTCAGACGCACAGTTTAAAACACTGGTGATCAGGATCCTCACAGAACTGGTTGATTATAGCCACAAATTAGACAAATGTATGAAGGCGAAACTAATTGAAATGAATGGAATTGCACAGGAAACCAATAGCAATGAAAAGGAAACTGGGACTCAAATCAAAGGAGTGGACCAGAAGAAAGCAAATAATGGCCAAACAGAAAAGAGTCAAGAAGCAAGAATTCAAAGAAATGAGGAGAGTCTTAGGAACATCCAGGACATCTTTAAACGCTCCAACATCCGAATTATAGGGGTACCAGAAAGGGGAAAGGCACAGCCACCAGTGGAAAACTTATTTGAACAAATAATGAAGGAGAATTTCCCCAATTTGGCAAAGGCAATAGACTTCCAGGAAATCCAGGAAGCTCAGAGAGTACCAAAGAAGTTGGACCCAAGAAGGAACACACCAAGGCACATCAGAATTACATTAGCCAAAATTAAAATGAAGGAGAGAATCCTAGAAGCAGCAAGAGCTAAGGGGACAGTCACCTACAAAGGAGTCCCCATCAGACTGTCAGCGGATTTCTCAAAAGAGACCTTCCAGGCAAGAAGGGGCTGGAAAGAGCTATTCCAAGTCATGAAATCCAAAGACCTACAACCAAGATTGCTCTATCCAGCAAAGCTTTCATTTAGAATGGAAGGACAGATAAAGTGCTTCTCAGATAAGATCAAATTCAAGGAGTTCATCATCACCAAGCCCTTATTATATGAAATGTTAAAGGGACTTATTGAAGAAAAAGAAGTTAAAGAAACATGAACAGTGAAAGGACAACAAACTCACAGTTATTAACAACCACACCTAAAATAAAAGCAAACTAAAAGGACAGCTAGATCAGGAGTGGAACCATAGAAATGAAGATCTCAAGGAGGGTTAGCAACAGGGGAGTGGGAGGAGGAGAAGGGGGAGAAGGCACAGAAAATAAGTAGCAGAGATAGTAGAAAATAGATGGGGGAGCAAGAATAGCATGGGAAATATAGAATCTAAAGAACTTGAGACACATGGACATAAACTAAAGGGGGGGTAATGGTGGGGATAGGGAGTAGGGTGGAGGGGAATGAAGGGGGGAATAGAACAACTATAACAGCATAATCGATAAAAAAAATTTTAAAAAATTCACCAATAAAAAAAAAGAACTTTCTGGAGAAAGTTTTTAGCATTAACCTAAGTGTTGTCTGTTTCACCTTAAGACTATGATTAAGTTTGAGTTAGCCCTTCCAAGCTGATATTCCACAATGTATGACATTGCTTTTTTGCTTAGTGGTTATCTGGCCCTTGGCAGAATGATTTCTTTTCAAGTTTTTCCTAGTTATCATTGCAGGAAAGTCATTGTGTTTATCATTATCTTGTGGTAATCATTTTTTAAGTGACAAGTGCCTACTTTAACAGATAATAACTAATTGGCTCTCCAGGGGCTACCTTGTGTGAACTGGTACACTCTAGTGTCCCTTACCTGCCTCTGACTACCTGTTCCCATCAAACTTAGATGTTCTTAGGGGTCTGTTTACTTTTGGTTAGACTCCATTCCAATTCCATTCCATAAATCTTGGGAAGAAGTCTTGCTTTTTTCTGAAGGTCTTCTGTATACAGTCCATAGGTATAAGTTATGGGCTGTATTAGTATTAACAAAAAAATCATATAAGAGTATTGCCTAAGGGTGAAGCCTGTAGGTGGGTAGCCCTCATAGTAAAGCCCTTACTGCTTGGCTTTACTTTTTTTGAAAAAAGAAACTGTGTTAATGTAATCATGATTAAATTCCAAAGTAGGGGGGACAGACTGACAAAGGCATTTTCCTATGGATATCTTACATATGTTCCTAGGAACCTAAACAATGGTTTCAGCAATCTGGGGCATTTTGACGTTCCCCGATGACAGAATTCTGGTGATAAAGTATTCAAGATTTATCAAAACAGAAGATGTTGCTGTTTCTTTCATATTATCTGGCTTTCTTTAAAGGAGTTTCTTCTTTCCTTTAGTGAGATTAGTCGCCTGGACCTGGGTCTGAGTGTGGAGGTGTGGAACAAAGGACTAATCTGGGACACGATGGTGGGGACCGTGTGGATCGCACTGAAGACTATTCGACAGTCAGATGAGGTCAGTCCTTGCACTGCCCACCTGTAGGTATGGTTTGAGCTCTTGCTTCTCCACACTCTATCTTCATTCAGCTAATACTCATCCATACATCTCAGATTGCTCTGCCTGCTTGCTAATTAGAGGCCATGCAACCAGCTTATTTCTACATTACCCAGAGGTTTAGGGGATTTCATTTAAGTCTTGTCTTCCCTCTGCCCTGATTAAACTTAGAGGTGCTAGAACACTTTTTAGACTTATCAGGTAGACAGCTTTTCTGAGTACTCTGTGTGTGTGTGTGTGTTATAGATTGATCTAGGGTACCCGTGGTTTACCTTTCCCCCCAAGATATTTTCCTGGAAGAAGCCCAATTAACCTTCCTCAGCCACTTGGCTGGGTCCTATTCTCTGCTTTTTTTCCTTTGGACTACCAATCCCCAGGAAATCGGTCTCAACCTTCCTTCTTCTACAAGTAACCCTAACAGAGTTTAAGGAACTGGTATTCACATGGTCTCTGTACATTATTTTCAAGACTGAATTCCCATTCTACTTTCTTAGATTAGACCGTAACTCAGCATAGTTTTCCCATAGACCCTCAGTTTGAACCTGGAGAGAATCAATAGTATTCCTGTTTGACTTTTACATGGACTATGAGTTTTTACTGGGAGTGGGGATGGTGAGAATGTGCCTCTCCTTTCTAATTTTCTTTTAGTTCTGGCAAAGTCTCTATTCCCCCAGGCAAATGGGCAGTTCATTTTCATTGTGGCCCCAGTTCAAGTCTACTTAACTAACAATGTTCATAGCTCTTTAATTGCCACGTCCACTGCCGCGTCCACTGTTGGATCCCTCTCTCCGTGACAAGGTCTTGAGAGGGGGTGTAAGACTTCAAGGAAGCAGTTTCCAACCTGGTGGACGTGGCATGGAAGGCCTTGCAATACCTATTGTGATTGTGCTTGCTTTGGGGATCATGACCCTTTTTGCTTTAATCATTATGAATACCCTGGCAGTGATTCAGATAGTGTGCCTGGACCTTTCCCGGCTCAATGAACAGAATAATAATATCATACTAGAACGTCAGGGAATATAGGCACAAGGAAACAATCAGAACAATCTGAGAATTCAAGCTTAATCAATAACAGATCATTAGAAAAACACCCAAGATAAGATAGAATACTCTAGGAAATCAGGAGATGATCTCACTACTTTCTCAGAGGGAATCAAAGTACAAAACATGTCTATAAAAGAATTCCTAGAGAAACTTAAAAGAAGTACCCTTGAAAGCCCCCTGCAACATAGGAACAGCCCCTCCTTTACCTTGAATAGGAATATATATCAACTAGACAGGCAAAGTAATAACAAAAGCTAGTTAGTTATTACAAACTGAACAGTCACTAGGGAGTCAGAATTTATGGTACACAGAAAAAACATTTTAAGCAAAAAAAGGGTAGATAGCTAAGTTAGACATCACAAGGGCCTTATAATAAATCTCCTATTTTCTCTACTCAGTCTAGCGTATCCTTATGCCCTATACCAAATTCTGAGAAACTTTAATATACAATAAGATATTTCTAATTGTCTGATTAATGGCTCTCCTAGTTAAAATAATCTTTAACTAAATCTATGGGAACTTTTGTACTTTTACTGATTGCCTTTGTATTGATTTTTTCTGCTTAAATGATCATGTTATACTACAAATATTAATCACTACCTAAAATGAAAATTATAAAAACCTGCTTGTACTTGCAATAAACGGAACAGAGCTTCACTGTCCTTTGAGGCGTATTGTCGTCTGTTACCCAGCGCCGATGCCTTGCCCTCACCTGTGGGACCCCCTGACCCGCTGCGGCTGGACCGCGGCATTTAATGATTAGGAATAGCGACACCTGAAGCAACAGTTTTTAAGAATTGCATAGCTCAAGAGGCAACCAATCAATGTCTCTCTCACACACAGATTTTTCTCTCCCTCTCTTACTCCCTCCCCCCCTAAAAATAAACACAATCTTAAAAAAAAAAGAAAGATTGCTCAGATTAAATATTGGTCCATGGAGGTGCTTGGTTTTTCAGCTTGGTACTTCGGAAATTCTGTCCTCAGTGGACTTGCAAAGGGCTATTATCCCTCTCTCCCTAAAGAGGGATAATAAAGGCCCATGCAGCAGAGGCAGGTTGGGACAGTATTGTGTTTGTCTCATCAAGATGTGAGTGGCCTTCAGAAGCTCTCCAGCAAGGACATTCAGAGAAAAACACCTGGCTCTTCAACCAAGAGGGAAGTCAGGAAAAAATAAAGTGTAATCTTAGATCTTTCTTTTCCAGGAAGGGCCCGGGGAGTGGTCCACGTTGGAGTCAGAGACATTAATGAAAGATGACGAGATCTGTGGAACTAAGAACCCAACTCCTCATAAAATTTTGCTTGATACAAGATTTGAATTGCCTTTTGGTGAGTCTATTTGATTAGATTTGTAAAGCCATTTAATACTTTTTGCCATATTGTTTGAAAATGTTGGCTGGTTGTTTCATTACTGTGTCTTTTGTCTTATCATCCACCTCCTTTGAGAACATTCCGTCTTTTGCCTCTCTATTCTGTGTAATGCCTAGCCCAGGGATGGTGCAGTGTAGCTTCTGGAATGGTGCTAATTAAAGAATCCACAATAAAAGCCTTCTCTCTGAGTTATTTTGTCCTCTCTGACTCTTTAGTATAATGACTTATGAAATACCTACTTGTTAGAGAACATCAATAATTTATTCTTTTGATAATATTTTAATATTTATTGTCTTGAAACAAATATATACCTACAATCAGCCAATTTAAAAAAAAACGAAGTAGCACTAACAAGTAGAATAGTAATTTAAAAAGTAATTTTTAAAAAATCACAAAAATATAGTCCCTGGTAAAAGTTCAAATAGTGTGGAAATGTACATGGAGAAGTTGTTTCTCTTCCTGCTTCCTTCTGCCTCTGCCTCCTTCACATTTCCTGCAGTGGTTAAAGAGGTAAACCACTATTAACTTTCTTGTGTCTTAGTTTAGATACAAGAAATTCCTAGAAATATTAGTTTGACAAAATTTGGACCATAATCTGTATACTGTATATAGTGATACAGTCATGCGTCACATAATGATGTTTCAGTCCACAACAGACCCCATATATGATGGTGGTATACTATATAGCTTAGGCGTGTAGTAGGCTATATCATCCAGGTTTGTGTAAGTACACTGCTTGATGTTCACAATATGACATAATTGCCTACTGATGCATTTCTCCAAAAGTACTTTGTTCTTAAGCTGTGCATGACTGTATATAGTGTTGTATAAACTACAAAAGCACAGTGTCTTGGACATCATCCATGTTTTACTTTAAGTTCTATCTTGCTGATCTGAACAGCTGCCTGGATGATAAGTTTTCTAGGCAATCCTTTATTTACTTATTTTTGAAGCATTTTTTAAATTTAATTATTGTTCAAGTACAGTTTTCTGTCTTTTACTCCCATCCCAGCCCACCCCCCACCCAGTGCTCCCCACCTCCCTCCCATTTCCATCCCCCTTAGTTTTTGTCCTTTATACTTGTTCCTGTGAATCCTTCCCCTTTTCCCCTGAAATTCTCTCCCTCTCCCCTCTGGTCCTTGTCAGCCAGTTCTGTATTACAGTGTCTTTGTTTTTATTTTCCTTGCTTGTTTGTTTTGTTGTTTAGCTTCTTGTTAAAGGCGAGATCATATGGTCTTTGTCTTTCAACACCTGGCTTATTTCACTTAGCATAATGCTTTCCAGTTCCATCCATGCTGTTGCAAAGGGTAGTGGCTCCTTCTTTCTTTCTGCTGCACAGAATTCCATTGTGTATATGCACCATAGTTTTTGGATCCATTCATTTACCGATGCGCACCTAGGTTGCTTCCAACTCTTGGCTGTTGTAAATTGTGCTGCTATGAACATTGGGGTCCATAGGTTCTTTTGGATTGGTGTTTCAGGGTTTTTTGGATATACTCCTAACAGTGGAATTGCTGAGTGAAAAGGCATATTCATTTTTAGTTTTCTGAGGAAATTCCATACTGTTTTCCATAATGGTTGTACCAGTCTGCAATCCCAGCAACAGTGAACTAGGGTTCCCTTTTCCCCACAACCTCTCCAACACTTGTTGTTACTTTGTTTATGATGGCCATTCTGACATATGTAAAGTGGTATCTCATTGTGGTTTTAATTTTAAGCAATTCTTTATTAATCAACATATAGGTTTCTAGTTTTGTTTTATTATATATTCCATAACCACTGTAATGAACATATTTGTACAACCGTGCCCATTTGTAAGTCCAGGATAAAGTCCTTAAAGTGGAATTTAAGGCATGGGGCAGATGGTATATGCACCATTATTTTTCATAGTACTGCCAAGTTGCTTGTCAGAAAGACTGTACCATTTTATATTCTTACCGACTATGTCTGAGGTGTCTCTCTTCTACACATCTTTACCAACATTTTGTATTTCACAATTTTAATATTTTTGTCCAATTGATTTATATTACATCTTATTTTAATTTAATTTAGTTTAATAATAATTTTGACTGTTCACACTGGTGATACATATAATTTTGTTATTGCTATTTTATTATTATTTTATTTTATTTTATTTTTTTTATTTTGTTGATTATGCCATTACATTTGCTCTATTCCCCCCTCCATTCCCCTCCACCCTGCATACCCCTCCCCCACCATTTCCCCCTTTAGTTCATGAACACGTGTCTCAAATTCTTTAGATGCTGCATTTCCCTTACTATTCTTACCCTCCCCCTGTCTATTTTCTATCTACTGTCTATGCTTCTCATTTTCTGTACCTTCTCCTCTTCTCCTCTTCCCACTCCCCTGTTGATAACCCTCCAAGAGATCTCCATTTCTATGGTTCTGCACCTGCTCTAGCTGTCCTCTTAGTTTTGCTTTTGTTTTTTAGGTGTGGTTGTTGATAACTGTGAGTTTGTTGTCATTTTACTGTTCATAGTTTTTTATCTTCATTTTCTTAGGTAAGTCCCTTCAACATTTCATTTAATAAGGGCTTGGTGATGATGGACTCCTTGAATTTGACCTTATCTGAGAAGCACTTTATCTGCCCTTCCATTCTAAATGAAAACTTTGCTGGCTAGAGTAATCTTGGTTGTAGGTCCTTGGTTTTCATGACTTGGAATAGTTCTTTCCAGCCCCTTCTTGCCTGTAAGGTTTCTTTTGAGAAATCCGCTGACAGTCTTATGGGAAGTCCTTTGTAGGTGACTGTCCCGTTAGCTCTTGCTGCTTTTAGGATTCTCTCCTTATCTTTAATTTTGGGTAATGTAATTATGATGTGCCTTGGAATGTTCCTCGTTGGGTCCAATTTCTTTGGGACTCTTTGAGCTTCCTGGATTTCCTGGAAGTGTATTTCCTCTGCCAGTTTGGGGAAGTTTTCCTTCATTATTTGTTCAAATAAGTTTTTAGTTTCTTGCTCTTCCTCTTCTCCTTCTGGCACTGCTATGATTCGGGTGTTGGAACATTTAAAGTTGTCCCACAGGTTCCTAAGCCCCTCCTCATTTTTCTGAATTTTTATTTCTTCATTCTGTTCCAGTTGACTGCTAATTTCTTTCTTCTGTTCTATATCATTGATTTGAGTCCCAGTTTCCTTCCCTTTACTGTTGGTTCCATGTATACTGTATATTTTTCTTTATTTCACTTAGTATAGCCTTTACTTCTTTCTTTATGTTATGTCCATGTTCAGTAATTTCTGTGAGCATCCTTATTACCAGTGTTTTCAACCAGTGTTTTGCATATATACCCAGAGGTGAAATGGCTAGATTATATGGTAATTCTATTTTTAATTTTTAAAAATTATTTATTTATTTATTTATTTATTTATTTATTTATTTTTTAGAGAGGGGAAGGGAAGGAGAAAGAGAGGAAGAGAAACATCAGTGTGTGGTTGCCTCTCATGTATCCCCTACTGGGGACCTAGCCCGCAACCTAGGCATGTGCCCTGACCTGGAATCGAACCAGCAACCCTTTGCTTCACAGGCCCATGCTCAATCCACTGAGCTACACCAGCCAGGGCCTATTTTTAATTTTTTAAGAATTGCCATAGTGATACTGTTTTTCATAGTCGCTGTACCATTTTATAGTCTCTCTAACAGTACACAAGGGTTCCAGTTTTTTTATATCTCACAATACTTATTATTTTCTCTCTTTAAAAATAGGATAGTAGCTATCCTAGTAGATGCGAAGTAATATGACCTTGCAGTTTTGATTTGTATTTCCCTAATGATCAGTGATGTTGAAAAGTTTTTAAGTGCTTCTTGACCATTTGTATGTCTTCTTTGGAGAAATGTCTGTCAAGTCCTTCATCCATTTTTGAATTGGGTTTTTGTTTTGTTGTTTTTGAGTTCTAGGAGTTCCCTATATATTTTGGGTATTAATATCTTAGGAGATATATGATTTGCAAGTATTTTCACCCATTCTATTGGTTCCCTTTTTATTATATTGATATTGTGGTTTTTTCCTTAGATTTTATTTATTAATTTTTAGGCAGAGGGGAAGGGAGGGAGAAAGAGAGGGAGAGAAACATCAATGTGTGGTTGCCCCTCATGTGCCCCCTACTGGGGACCTGGCTCACAACCTAGGCATGTGCCCTGACTGAGAATTGAACCAGTGACCCTGTGGTTCACAGGCCAGTGCTCAATCCATTGAGTCACACCAGTCAGAGCCTATTGATAGTCTTTTGATCAGAAATTTTTTTGATTGTCATAAAATCCAATTTGTCTGTTTTTTCTTTTGTTGCCTGTGCTTTTGTTGACCTATCCAAGAAATTCCCAAATTCATTGTTATGCAGCTTTTACCCCATTTTTTAAAAACAGTTTTATAGTTTTAGGTCTTGATCCATTTTGAGTTATATTTTTATGTGGTATTAGGTAAGAGATCAATTTCATTCTTTTGCATACAGATATTCAGCTTTGTAAGCACTATTTGTCAAAAAGACATTTCCCCATTGAATGTACCCTTGTCAAAGAGTCATTTGGCCATACATATGAAGGTTTATTTCTTGGCTTTCTAGGCTACTGATCTATATACCTGTCTCTATGTGAGTACTACACTGTTTTGGTTACTGTAGCTTTGTAGTAAGTTTTGAAATTAGGAACTGTGAGTCCTTTAGCTTTGTTCTTTTCAAGATTAATTTGGCTGTTTGGGATCTGTTGAAATTTTCTATTAATTTTAGGATGGAGTTTCTATTTCTTGAAGAAAAAAAACATCATTAGGATTTTGATAGAGATCAGATTGAATCTGTAGATCACTTTGGGTAATGCTGACAACTTAACAGTATTAAGCATTCTGATCCAGTGGGAATACTAGACATTATTTAGGTTTTTGTGAAGATTAAAGAAAATGTTCATAGCCCCTGACTGGTGTGGCTCAGTGGATTGAGCTCTGGCCTGCAAACCAAAGGGTCGCTGGTTCGATTCACAGTCAGGTCACATGCCTGGGTTGTGGGCCAGGTCCCCAGTAGGAGGTGTATGAGAGGTAACCACACATTGATGTTTCTCTCCCTCTTTTACTCCCCACCTTTTCCTCTGTCTAAAAATAAATAAATAAATAATTTAAATAAATAAGATAATGTTCATAGCAAGAATGAAGCCACCAATGAGATTAGTCCATTGCTGTCACCCCTCTAATTTTGATCATTTGATTGAACAAAGTATTGTTAACTCATGATTAAATTATTAGCCAGGTGGCGAAAGACAAATAACATATGTTCTCGCCTGTAAGTGGAACCTAATCAACAAAACAAGTAAGCAAAATATAACCAGAGACATTAAAATAAAGAACAAACTGACAGTAACTGGAGTGATGGGGGGAGAGGGATAAAAGGGGTAAAGAGGGGAAGGTCCATCAAGGAACATGTATAAAGGACACACAGACAAAGCCAGAGAGGGCAGGTGAGGTTTGAGGGAGGTGAGGATGGGTGGGGCATGGAGCTATGGTAGGGTGAAAATAGAGACAACTCTACTTGAACAACAGTAAAAATAAATAAATTATTACCTGGTAATGTGTTCTCTTCTTTTTTGCGGTAGATATCCCAGAGGAGGAAGCCAGATATTGGACCTACAAATTGGAGCAAATCAATGCCTTGGAAGCTGACAATGAGGTAGGAACTGCCTTATTTGCAATATGGAGAGATAGGGAAAAATCTCTTTATAGGACACTAGTTTTCAACAGAGGAGCCCGTGAGCATGTTGAAGAATGAAAGAATAAAAATTGTGTTAAAGAAAAAAGGCAGATGAAAGATTGCCTACATTTCATTGGAAGGCTTTTTGTCCTGCACTTCCCATTCTTTTCATTGTTCCACAGAAGTGGCTGCCTTGGCATTGGTCTAGCTCTAGATTGTTGGGCAAGGATGTTATACTGGAGCAACTGTCTTCTGGTTACACAGATGAACAAAAGGCATTTTTTTCGCTTGTTCCCAGATTTTTGGATATATAACTTTATTTTTATACTCTTTTAAGGGATGTTTAGACTATTTCATTGAATGGTCCTGCCGTCCTAACTTATCTCCAGAAACGGTCCTGGTGAATAGAAGATAACACCACTCAATCCGGGCAATCAGAAATGGGGAATGTTTTTGATAAGGTTGTGGAGGGAAAAGATAAGTTATTTTACTTTTGGACATGATGGGAGCTATTATACAGTTGGTCTGATTATAAGATAAAATTGGAGTCCCAGGGGATATTTTGATGGAAATGTCAGATTCTTCATGAAAGAATCTGAAGCTCAGGGTTGGATAGGATAGAAAGCTATAGGCATAGAGTTTGGATTTATCAAGATAATGGTAGCAATTGAAGTCATAGGAATAGAAGAGTTCACTAAGGTAGAATACGTACAAAGAGCATTAAAGAAGAACAAGGACAAAACTTTGGGAAACATCAAAGACAGAATCTTGAGAAACAAAAGAGACTCAGGAAGAGCAGCCTGTAAAAGAAAGAGAACCAAGAAAAGTTTATAGAACAGAGGAAAAAAAGTTTTAACGCAGAAATTCTTGATGATGTCAAATGTTACTGAGAACAAAGCAGATGGGTAATGAAATACAACCATTAGATTGGCAATTAATGACCAGTATCCTTAGATTAGTGCGGGAAGCCAAAATGCAGTGGTCTGAGAAGAGCTTTAGTTTCCTAAGGCTGCCGTAACAAAGTACTACAAACCGGGTATCTCAGAGAAACTGGGTATCTCAGAAAGAATTTTTTCTCTCACAGTTCCAGAGGCTAGAACTTTTAAATCAAGGTGTTGGCAGGGTCAGTTTATTCTAGAGTCTCTGAGGAAGAAATTGCCCCATGCTTCCTAGTTACAGGTGGTTCCCACCAGTCTTTGCTGTTTTTTGGCTTATAGACACATCATTCTAGTCTGTTTCCATTATTACATGCTTCCCTGTGTACGTGCCTCTCTGTCCTCACAGTCATCTTACCTGCTCTTTCTGTGTCTGTGTCCAAATTTCCATTCATCTTATAAGGACACCATTGGATTAATTTCATTACATCTGCAGAGAGATCACATTCACAAGTACTGGGGATTAGGCTTCAACATATATATATATATATTGAGGGATACAATTCAGTTTACATAGAGTTATATCAAAGGTGAAGAATTGGAGTTTGGGACAACCACAAACTACTCTTTTCAGAAATTTTCCTTACCTCACCTAAATCCTCACTGGGGCTTCTATTATTAAGCTGCATAACTCTTTTCATGCCCTGTTTGTCCTCTCCCCTTGATGAATGCTAAAATGCACCCCTTCCTTTCATCCACTTTACCTTTTGTGTTTTTGTTTTCCTAAAGCTTAGCTGTGAGGTAGTATACAGCCTTTTAATCTCCTGTTTTCTTAGTAAAGAAACACACTGAACTCTACTGTGTCACTGCAGAAGCAGATGAAGGGATTAAAACAATAAAAAAGCCAAATGTAATTTATGCAAACATTGCAGAATTTTAAAAATTCTAAAAATAAAAGTTCTTAGACTGTGGTTCTTAATTTTCCTTGAGATTTTTGCTGTTTCTATTTTAAGATATGAAGCTCATTAAGTTTATTTTTTCCTACATCACCTTTTTAAAAAAATTGCTTTATTGAAATATAGTTTACATATTTTACAGTTTACATGTACACTTAAATTATACAATTTAGTGGCTTTTAGTATGTTCACAGAATTGTACATCTATCACAATTTTAGAGCACTTTCATTATCCCATAAAAAAAGATTTATCAAGGTATCTTCGTTACCCCTGTGCTGTTAGCTATTGCACCGTAATTCCTTCGTCCTCTTTAGTCCTAGACAACCACTAATCTACTTTTGTCTCTATACAATTTGCTTATTCTAGATGTCTCATATAAATAAAATTATATAACATGTGGTCCTTTGTGACTGTCTTCTTTCACTCAGCATAATATTTTCAAAGTTTCTTCTATGTTGTAGCATGTATCAGTACTCCATTCTTTTTTACTGCCAAATAATATTCCATTGGTAGTTATACATTTTATTTATTCACTTGCCAGTTGATGATGGACAATTGGGTTGTTTTCATTTTTTTGACTAGTATGGGTAATGCTGCTGTGAACATTCACATAGAAATTTGTGTTTGGACATGGGTTTTCAATATTCTTGGATATATATCTAGGAATGTACTGGCTGGATCAGATGGCAATATGTTTAAGTATTTTAGAAACTGCCAGACTGTTTTCCAAAGTGGCTATACCAATTTATATTCCCACTAAAAGTGTAAAGGGTTCCAATTTCTCCATATCCTTGCTAACACTTGTTATCTGTATTTTTGATTATAGCCATCCCAGTGGGTATGAAGTGGTATATCTCACTGTGATTATCACTTTGTTTAAAATTTTTATTATTGGAATTTTTAAACATGCAAAATATATACAATTTCTCTGTCTTCTTTGCTGGAGTATTTTGAAAGTAATCCCAGATGTTGTCTTGTCTCACCCATAAATTCATAAATACATAAATACATCAATATACACCTTTAACAGATAATTTCTTTTAAAAACCCACAGTGCCTTTTAGCACATTGAACTTAACAGTAATTTCTTAATATTATGTAATATTTACTCTGAGTGCAAATTTCCTTTATTATCTCAAAGATGTTTTGTCATTGTTGATTTGCTCAATTCCGGATCCAAACAAATTGTATATATTTGATGATTTTGTTTCCTAAATCACTTTAATTCTATAGCTGTTTCCCTTTCTCTCATTTGTTATATAGAACCCTGCACATTCTGAATTTGACTGGTTATATTACCAAGGTTATTTTTACCAGATCCCTGTATCCCTCTTACTTCCTTAACAATGAAAATTATATCTAGTAGTTTGAGGCTTAAATTGAGATTTAAATTGAAGTTTTGTTTTTTTTTTTCTTTTTGGTAGGCAGATGGTATCTTATATCACTTTTAGTAATGTTAAATTTCAGTAGTGGGTGGTGCAACTGGTGTCAGCCCATTTTATCTATTATAAAGTGATCCAACCAACTTTCACCTAATGGTTTTAGCAGCATAAAAAAAGTTAAACAGACATAAAAATAAGGGAATAACAAAATGAAACCTTTACACTCACCTCGAAGATTCAGTAATTATCAAGATTTCATAAATGACATATTCACTAAAGGGTTGATATTCTAAATGTATAAGAAACTCATGAAACTCATAAATCTCAACAAAAAATAAATAACCTGATCAAAAAATGGGCAGAGGACATGTAAGGACATTTCTCCAAAGAAGACATAGGTAGCTGACATACATGTGAAAAGATGCTCAACATCACTAATCATCAGGAAAATGCTATCAAAACTACAATATAATACCACATCACACTAATCAGAATGGCTATTATAAAAAAGTCAACAAATAACATGTAGGCGAGGATGTGGAGAAAAGTGAACCCTTGTGCACTGTTGGTGGAACTGAAAACTAGTGTGACTTCTGTGGAAAACAGTATGGAGATTCTTCAACAAACTAAAAACTAGATATAACATTTGACTCAGCAATGCCACTTTTGAGTGCTTATTCAAAGAAAATGAGAACACTATTTCAGTAAGATATATTTATCCCTATGTTCATTGCATTATTTATAGTAGCCAAGCTATGAAAGCAACCTAGGTGGTCATCAATAGATGAATGGATAACAAAGGTGTGGTATATATAGGGTGGAATATCATATAGCAATAGAAAACAATGAAATTGAGGGAGAATTCAAGGTGGTGGCAGAGTAGATGAAAGCTACACTTACCTCCTCTTAGGATGGAACTGGAATTCCAACTAAATTATAGAACAATCATCCTGAATAACCCACTAAAGACTATATGAGGAGAAATATTATAGCCAGGGATTTATAGAACCATATCAAGACTGCTCCAAACATGTTGCCCAGGACAAGTCACAGGCTACATCTGATATTGGTCTGAACCAGAGACCCCCTAAAGAGATCTAGAACCAACAAACTCAGGGACCAGCTTCAGACAAAATCAGAGCAGGATCCAATAAGCTTCACGAGCAGCATATCCAAATGGAGATCAAAACAGGCACCAAACCCTGCTGAGGTGAATTTTGCTTGGTATGGTAAGCACCTGCTCAGCAGCTTGCGTGCTGTGGTTGGGGTTGAGCCTCAATGACCACCAGCCTGAGAGTTGATCTCCAGCACTAATGGGAGAATAGCAATCAAGGCTTAATTACAACAGGAAGACACACATTGCCCACTGAAAGGACATTTCTGGAGCACCCAGCTCAGGTGATGAAGAAGACTGCACCACTGGACCCCATAGGACACCTGCTACATATTACTCCCATGAAGACTGGGAGTAATAGCTGATCTATCTAATAAATAGCCACAAACACAAACAGGTAGCCAAATTGGGGAGACAAAGAAACAAGCCTCAAATGAAAAAAACAGAAGAAATCTCCAGAAAAAGAGTTAATAAAACATAGGGAAGCAATTTATTAGACATGGAGTTCAAAGTAATGGTTATCAGGATTCTCAACAATATGAAAAAGACATAGAAACCATAAAAAAAAGGACCAGAAAGTAAAAAATATGATATGTGAAATGAAGAATTCACTGGAAGGAATAAACAGTAGGTTAGATAAAGCAGAGGATC